GGGATGCCTTGTTTGCTAAGTTGGGTTTTTGTTTTTTGTGTGTTGTTATAGGTGATGATCCAGAAGAGGTGAAAGCGAGGCTTAAATATTGGGCGCAAGCAACGGTTTGCACTGTCAAATTATGTAGCACTCACAAGAGAAATCAGTGTTGAATTAAAGTATGTTGTTTAGTTGGTTTTGTATTATTGTATAAATGAATATTAATATATATACACAAATACGTGTAATTTCGAGTGTTGAAGCTTGTCTCTTTCGAAACCTCATCCCCCAATATTGTATTTTGTACTCCCGTATTTTTGTTTAATATATAAATTATTATACTTTGTGTCTTGATATTTTGTGTGTTGTAATTTTTGGTTTTTACATAAATAAATGATGAATTGAAATCCTATTATCACACATTTAATCTTTTACTCCCTCTGTTCCTATTTTATCTTCCAAATATGTTTGACACACAATTTAAGATAGTGAGTATTGTGTGGTAGAGAGTTGTGCAGAGGGGAGAGAAATGTGTAAAAAATGTTGTGAACCACAAATTCTTTACTAAAAAGGGTAAGTGGAAGTTTTAATTGGAACGGGCGAAAAAAGGAAAGTTGGAAGTTTTTAATAGGAAGGGAGGGAGTATTTATATGTTACTCGTTTTGATTGAAATAAACTTACTTGGTGTTCTTTTTTTATTTTTTATTATCATTGGTACTCAACAATCAAGTTAGAGGTAGACAAGTGGGTATGAAAAGTTCAGCTCAGAAATTGTACACCTCGTCCCAAAACAAATGGGGTTTCTACTTTAAACTTTTTATGCAATTTTTCTAAACTAAAATCGACTTTCCGTTTATTGTGAAATTTGACCTTTTCAAATGATAATTTTCATATTTTATTACTCTTCCGTTCTTAAAAGAACTTCCAACTTTCCCTTTTCGTTCGTCCCAAAAAGAATTTCATTTTCCCTTTTTGGCAAAAAGTTTATGGTTCACAGTCATTTTTACACATTCTTACACATTTCTTTCTCATATGCACAATTCTCCACCACACAATACTCATTTTATTAATCCTTGTGTCATTTATATGGAGTACTATGGAAGAATTTTTAGAGACGGACGGACTACTTTTTTTAATCTTCTCTCACATGCTTTTGACATTTCCAGAAATGTTCAATATGGAGTATTATTCTTGGGAGAGTAAAAAAAGATAGAGAAAATAGAAAACAGATGAAGAAACACAACACGCAACCACTTCGAATTGAGACACATAGTTGATGTGGTAATCCAAGGTTGGTTACTTTGAGACTATTTTAACTCAAGGTCCCTTTGACTTTGGACACATGGCTTATTTCAATGGTTAGATTGTTGTCATAACCTACTCAACAGTTTTAATCACACTTTGATGAAAAAGAATGGAGTTTCATTTCAAATCATTGCTTGGAGTGGCACTTGGACCTTTCCCTTGTGATATTTTCTTCCTACCAGGTGAGATAAGTCTCACGGTATAAACTCCCATCTCCAAATATTATTCAAAGTGATTTGTACCAGATGCATACTCCCTCCGACCCCTATTAAAGTTCGCAGTTTGACTTCACACAGATTAAGAAAATAAATTTGACTTTACTGTGGAGTGCACTGTTTGGCACTGTTTGAATACTGTTTGACACTGTTTGGCACTATTTTGCACTGTTTTGTTTCCTACAATGAAAGTGTGAACTTAAATAAGGGACATCCCAAAAAGGAAAGTGAGAACTTTAATACGGACCGGAGATAGTATATAACTAAAAAGTATTACCTTTGTAGATACTTTTTCAACCTTGAATTAGGTGAGAAATGAGATAATTAATTAAAAACTATGTGATTGAAGTTTGTACATAGAAGAGAAATAACAGAAGAATCGTAAATTAATTACTTTAATAGAAAAGTGATAAAGTTTTTTGAACAGTAAAAAGGGAAAGTTAGTAATAAAAGATGAAGTATATAATTAATATTGAATATTTGTTTACAAAAGATAATATAAGTACGAACCATATATTACTATTTATAACGGAATACTATTTAAAGGAATAAAAACGGGTGATCATTCTAGGACAGGAAAAAAAGACGAGTTAAACCCAATAATGTCTTTAAAATGACAAAATAACAAAAAAAAAATCCCAAAGTAGGGAATAAAATATAAATGACTCCTGATGTGAAAGAAAAAATGTATGTTCATGTTTGAGAAAATATGTTACCCTTCACTCATACTTACGAAACCTTCTCTATATTTAAAAATAGGGAGCACTTATAGTACTAACTCAGTTTGAAAGGTTCTCATAGTAAAATGACACGGATATTTAGACAATAATTAAATAAAATACTTCAGGTATATTTTGAAAAATAATTTTAATAGGTATATATTATAATGTAGTTAATATTGATAACTATGATGTTATAAATGTATTATTTTTAATATTTAATGATTAATTTGTGATTTAAGATTGTTAATTGTTTCCTAAAATGGAAATGAAAAACCTTTATATGGGACAACCAAAAAAGGAAATTAGGAACCTTCTAATGGGACGGAGAGAGTACATGCTAAGCTACGATGACACCAAAAGTGAACACAAATTATAGGAATATATTATATGAAACATGATCTTAGTCAACAGCTAATATATAATTTTACATCTAAATATCGATTAATATGTAACTTTAAGAAATTGATTCAAATCAGATAGGAGTAAAAGATAGTGTACAAACACTGAAATAAAAATAGTTATGTTTTATTTCTAAAATAGAACATCTTTTGCTCTAAGAAAAGTATAAAACTTCCTCAATTCGTAAATGAGGAATTTTAATTTATACATTTGTCTGTATGTTACTTTCGTTTAGGGGCAGTTTGGTTGGGGGTTTCGGAGGAGAGGGAACGGCATGGGTTATATATAAATGTAAAAGAATTTTTACATTTATAAAAAATTGAAATAAAATGAAGATAAAATAGTCTAAATTAGCAAATTTAGATAAATTCATACAATAAAAGATCAATTACCCCTCCTCTTTACCTTCAAAATCCCTCAATCAAAGTGGCCCTTAAGAATGCTCTTGGAATTTGTTACTTAAGAATGTCTTCAGTAAAATATTCGATTCTAATATGTGGCGAGCATTAGTCTTATCATGTTTCAATAATAATGTGACAATAGAAAGAAACAGAGTTTCAAAAAAAGGGGAAAAGGAGAAGAAAAAATTCAATGGCATGCTTACCATGCGACTTTTCTAAAGAGAAGTGGTTGCCCTCATGAACTGTTGCCAATCAAGTAAAAGTCATAACAACCCTACTACCACCTGATACCATCAGTTTTTTGTCCTCCCTTTGTCCCAACCACAGTATCACATGTGGGACAATGATGTAGATTTTCTTTAAACAATCATCTTGGTACTTACAAGGTCAACAATGAAGTGATTTGGTATTGAAATGATTTAAGCAACATACAACTTCATTTGTTTTGAATACTATAAAGATTTGCTGAAATATTTCATTAGCAATACATGCTAACATGTTAGGTTGCATGGAAGCCTTTGTCATCCCTGTATAAATTGTTGGAATCAACAGTCAGCTAGTAGGGCTTCCTCAGTGAGCACAGGAAGTTCCTTGGGTTAACAAAAATGGGCTTTGTCGTATACTCGTACTCATGTGGTAATCCCACTCTCAAGCTACTCTTGGTAGACTTTTGTTCAAAGAATGAAACATTTATGCTAATGTTAAATGATCGGACTGGCCTGTGCCAGACCAGAAACTGGTAATCTGGTCACTAAACCATGCCAGTAAGCTGGGAATCATGAATAGGTCAAAACCGGGGAAATCCTCTCAGTCAAGTCTGTAAAATCTTGTTTTGAGTGATTCTTTTGTTAGTCTCTGGTTTAAAGAGATTATGGGGGTGTTTGGATTTGATTCTTAAAACTGTTTCTGCTCCTTTAGGGAGCAGAAGCAGAAGTTAGAGTGTTTGGGTAAAAGTGCAGAAGTGATTTTGGTGCTCTAATTTACTCCTAGAATCAGGTTTTTTAGAAGCTGGGGGTGACCAGCTTCTGAAAACTGATTCTGCTTCTGCTTTAAAAAAGAAGCAGAATCAGAATCAGTTCCAAACACCCCCTATACCACTTTCATAAAAGATTTTCAAAAATGTGACATATTCATTCATCTCATTTTATCAATATAATAATCCCAAAACATTTCAAGATGCACAAACCAAATAACTAGATAATAGCATTGGTACAAAAAGGAAAGAAAACTGTAATTTGAAATGTCATGTGTTTTTTTATGCTTATAAAGCATTACTAGTACCATTATTATAATACTGTTACCAAGAATAGTTACTTTTCATTTTAGGTTGACTTTCAATTATATGTGCAGTTGACCAAGTTGATCCACCCAGCGTCCGAGTCCACATCAACCCATGACTCAGTCAATTGGCCTGGTCAATTTGTGATCGGGCTTTATAAAATAGAGCAAAACAGTTTGTATTCCTGGGACAGTTATTTGAATACCATGAGCGCCTAATATTCTATCCATACCGCTGCGGTGTAAATGAATAATATTTTCTCAAATCATGCAAGTAAATCAGCCCAATATTACTACATAAAAATTACTCATACAAGATTTTGGACAATTGTAGTTTAGAATCATAATATGCATAGGTGAGACTCGAGAGAGGTTTCAACATTATTTTTTTCTTTTTGCTACAAAGAATAATAATTCTTACATGTGCAGCCATCTCAGCCTTAACCCGAAAGTGCTTCTTCTTCAATGCTTTCTGCTTCAGAATCCTTTGTTGGATATTCAGAAAACTTTGGAGGTTTTGGAGTAAGCCCAAGCATCTTAAACATAAGTTGGTCAGCATCATAATCGTTGTTGGGGGTCGTCAGCAATTTCTCTCCAGTAAAGATTGAATTAGCACCAGCAAGAAAACACAGGGTTTGTTCTGGTATGGAAAATCGAACTCTGCCAGCTGAAAGCCTAACCATTGCTTTTGGCATTATAATGCGGGCAGTTGCTATCATCCTAATCATGTCCCATATTTCCACAGGCTGAAAGCATCCATTTGAAGAGGATGTGTTAGAAAAACTCTAGAAAATAGTGTATAAAAGATCTATTCACATTTCACAATAGCACATTTTGTGTTCCAACTTCAGATATCCAGAAGGCTAAGGGTTACTTTATATCTTATAACCGGAGTAGATAACATGTTTCTAAAAAACGAAAAAAAAAGATGGTTGAAATGTAATGTGATTGATCATCTGTTAAGTTATTCATCCAGTTTTATAAAATCCATAGTTGTTACGGCGGGGTTTTGCGGCGCGACGCCTTTAGACTGCCATACCGCCATGGCAATATGGCGCCCGTCGTGGCAGAGTCGCGGCGATAAGTCGACATATACACTAATAAATTCATAATATGTTTTACATACTAAAGAGCCTGCCAAAACCCTCCATCCAAACTAACACTAAAGGTGACTGCTGAAATAATAGCATACAAATCACAAAGTCAGCTTTGAGAGTATGTTTCCAACTCCAAACAAGGGACGCCATTCAGTTTTCCATTAAAGCCCTCCATGATAATGTCAATATAATTTGACAGTTCAGTGAAGTCAGGGTAACATACTACCATACTGAATATTTTATGATACTTCATAGCAGGAAGTGAGACAGTTTCTAACGGATGATTACTCTGTATTCCTTATAATGAGAACAGCAGGAAACAAACTTTATAAAAACAATAGATACCTTCTGGTCTTCAAGAGGTGTTCCTTTGACTGCAACTAGTGCGTTAATGGGTACACTTTCAGGGTGTTCAGGAAGTGTTGCCAATGTATGTAACAAACCAATCCGGTCATCATCGGCCTCACCAAGACCAATTATCCCCCCTGGTTGCAGCAATTAAATTTATATTGTGGGATTTTACCAAGAGTAACACCTTAAACAGTTGAATGAACAATCACATATCATGAAAGATGTGAGGTTTATTTAGCGTGCCAGCTTTTACGATGGTAATGGTACTAATTTTAGCTTAAGATGCTATTTATGCGGCCAAGTTGAGACCACGAAATTGAAGTCTCATCCATTATCAAGGATTATTTCAACCAATGTTTGAGAGGATATCAGCTACTACAATGTAAAATATGAGGTGTAATATCAAATTGAAAACCAAAAAACATATAAGCACAAGCATACCACATACACACATATTGTGGATGCTCACATCTTGATATTCAAGAGCCAGTGTTACCTGAACAGACACTTATTCCAGCTTCACGGACATTCTTAAGAGTTTCTAGCCGATCATCATATGTTCTTGTGGTTATGATGTTTGGGTAATACTCTCTAGAAGTGTCGAGATTATGATTATATGCCGTAAGACCAGCATTCTTGAGCTCCAAAGCTTGCTGCTTCTCCAGCATTCCTAATGTGCAGCACACCTCCATTCCCATCTCCCTTAACAAAGATAAGTTAAAAAACATCAGTGAATAAATGTGGTTTACTGTTGAATGGTCTGAAGAAAGAAATAGAATAACTAGCAGAAATCAGTCATATAATTATACATCCAAGCCGATCATCCATACTTGTCAATGGATGGATAACTACTACCTCTGTTTCACAATAGTGTTTACCATTTCCTTTATTGGTTGTTCCAAATTAGTATTCTCAAATTCTATCGGTAAAAGGGCCAACTTAATAAAATACTTCACTTACCCACTTACTTTCTATTTTTGTCCTTCCTCTACCCATCCACCTAGAGTCATTACATGTTAATAAAATACTCTAAAACAGGATCCGTGTTAATTGACATTCTTAAACTTTGTTCAAAAAAGAATGTAAGAGCACTATTATTATCAAAAGAAGAGGCTAATAAATTTATAGGTGGTATATGCGTGGTGTACTTTCTTTTCCATTTTAGATAGGAGTGCCATTTTTTCAAATACAAACTCAAACAAATGCGATTGCACTAAGTACAGCTAGATCAAGAGCAGATTCAAAGAGGGAAAAACTGATATGAGCACCAGATTGACTTCATTGATGTTCAAAACTTGTTGCAATCAACATTAAGTACAGATGAGTGTTCAGTTTGAAAACGTATATAGTTTCATCAAGAAGCATTTGTTTATTTGATTTATTGTCAGTATTAGTATAGTATAGTATAATACTTTTTGTGTGTGGGTGTGAGGAAGTGGGTTAGTTACTCTTGGGAAACATCACATCTAAGATTTCCGACCACAAGGAAACAACAGTAATACATTTTAACTATACGCTAGAGCTATAACCATTACCTTATTTGTTTCACATAGTCAAGGATCTGGTTGAAATTTGTTTTCCTTCCTATTGTATCTCTCCATGCAGCACCCATACAAAAACGAGTACTACCTGCCTCTTTTGCCTGTCATTGCATTAAAAAGGTAAGCTAACACCAGTTTATAACAGGAGAAGAAGTATTGTAGAAGTCCCATCAGGTTTTATCTTAAGAAGAACATCATAGCATTGCAAAAGGCCATCAAAATCACAGTTCACCACAATAATCCATCACATCTTGAACTTCAAAATATTTAGTTAAGGTTAGCATTTGGTTGATGAATATTCAAAATCATCAGCTAGTATTTACAGTGTACTAAAAGAGGACCATGTTCACTAAGTGTCACCGGCATGCCCTGAAAGACGCATGAGTATTCAGAACTCCAATGTCACTTAAGTCTTAAAGTGTAGTAAGAGTTCAATTCAATCCACAATGATAACACGAATCAACTTTAAGATGCAAACACCTGTAGAGAAAACAAAAAAGAATGCAGAGGAAAATCAAAGAATGCACCTTGTGTGCTGCATCCAGAACGGAATCCTTTCCCATGAGCTTTTCGGCCTTCACACCAGTTCCGTACCTGGAGGACTGGGGACAGTAAGCGCAGTCCTCGCTGCAACCTCCTGTCTTTATAGATAGCAATGTGCACTGTTGTACTTCTCGAAAGTTGTGAGCGTGCCTATGGACTTGAGCCTGCTCAAGCATAAAGAGGAACAAAAAGGTGAATTGAAAACGAACAATGCATCTGCGAACATAGAGAAGAAAGAGGGAAGGAACAGACGCCGTGGAAGAGGAGATCGAGAAGCGAGGAGTCGTAAATGGACTTTATCTGAGGTCTGGTCCAGTCGTGCCTGGGGCCTTCCCTGATGCATCTATCGGCTTCGGTGGCAGCGGCGGAGGAGGAGTGAGCTGAGGCAGAGAATGAGCAGAAATTGAATGACCACGAATGCAGCGGTAGCGTGTCCAGGCACGACAATGAGCGCCTGATAGGAAACCGAATCGAAATCATCCTCACTCCAATTCAGCCACCGGAGAAGAGGGAAGGACAGAACGGCGGCAGGCTTCCACCGGCGGAGAGGAGAAGAAAGGGTGGGGCGAAGGTGGTGAAGATGGACAGTATTTAATTGAAAATCGAATGTGTTTTTGGTGTTAGCATTGGAGTGTCCGATTCTTTGTCAGCATTCGTTTCCAACAGTTCAACTACAAAAAGAAATCTTTTAATTAGTGGACCTAAAAAACAATTTTGCTATAGGTACTCCAACTTTACCCCATTCCTTAACTCATATAAATACCTCCTTTTTTACCATTCCTTTTACCTCTTTTCCAAAAACCCTTCCCCCTCCCCCACTTTTCTTCTTCTTCCCTCCCTCTCTCCTCCATCTTCTCTTTTCACGCCCCTCCCCTCCCATTTCTTTCTATTTTCTCCAAAACTTGATTTCTTCTCCATTTCAAGATCTCTCCCCATCAAGTCTTCTCATTTTTTCAATCTTTTCTCCCTCCAAGCTTCTTCTCATGCTTCTCTCCTCGTCGGCTTATTTTTTTCGTTTCAAATGGAAGAGCTACAGTAATCGAACGAAAAGGAGAGCTTGGTGATGTGGGGAGACAACGACGAAAGTACAGACCAAGAAGCTTTGAATGACTTGGAGCAGATCTACTTTTCTTGATTTTTTTCTTGATTTTTTGGTGCGTTTTAGAAAAAAAGGGTTGTCTGTCTAACAGACAACTTGTAAGTGCAGTGTCTGTATTTGTTAGTCTAGGAGAAGAATATGTTGTTTTTCGTTTATTTGTATTTTGTTTGGCGGACAGACAATTTGGAAATGCAGTGTCTGTCTAGCATAAAGTGAACATGGTTTCATAGTTGTTTAAAGTTGACGTGATTTTATAGTTGTTAGAGTCATACATAAAATGTGTGTGGCCAGACAACTTTAAATGTATGTGATTTTGTTTGGAAACATGGTTGTATTGGTAATGTAGTTTTTATATAAATGTGTGTGCCTTTTTTTTTGAAACATGGTTGTATTGGTAATGTGAAGACACATGTGGTGAATGAATTACATATGTAATCTCTACAACGAAAAGAGTAAGGTTTCCTGTTAGAATAAAGAATACTCTCTGTCTTACAGCCAGACAAATTTTGTCTTGGCCAGACATTAATAATCTGGGACAATTAACTACTCTCTGTCCTACAGCCAGACAAATTTTGTCTTGGCCAGACATTAGTAGTCTGGGTCAATTAAGTACTCTTTGTCGTATAGCCAGACAAATTTTGTCTGGGCCAAACATTAGTAGTCTGGGCCAATTAAGTACTCTATGTCTGGGTATCTATGGTATTGTCTGTATGTGTAAAGTTATTGTCTTTCTACGTGAAAATAATGTATGTATGATTATCTCTAATGTCTGTCTAGATATATGTATTGTTTATCTATTCACAACAAATAATTTGTTGCAATAGATTGACGGACAACTCAAATGGAATGTCAGACAACTACTTTCACATGACAGACAACTACAAATCAATTTTAAACAATTAGATTTAACGTGCGAGACAACTAATATGCCTTGCCAGACATCTCAATATCATCACAGAGCAATCTAAATATACACAACTACTTCACAATTTCACCAGAAAGACAACTATCTTCACATTACAGACAAATCAAATGGAATGTCAGACAACTCTTTTCACTTCACAGACAACTACAAACCAATTTTCAACAAACAAAAATACAACAAAAAAACTATGAGAGCATTCAACTTCGAGAATCTTCAAACACAGGCAACTCTTTCCAAGTTGAGCAGCAAATGGGGCAAATGAGGTTGCCTTGTTTCTTCACATGTGCAGCAGCTCTTTCCAGACAGACATCTTATGTAAGATTCCACCAATTGTGAAACTATGCTCAGCTAGACAGACGCTGCAATTCAAATTTGTTTGTCAGACAGACAACTGTTTTTCATGTGGAGTTGGACAAAATAATACCAAAAAATGAGAAAAAAAGACCATGGCGTGCGAGGGCTCAGCTGCTCCAGCCGCTAGCTCATCTTTCCCTCCAGTCGCCGCTCGCTCCGCTCTTTTCACTAGATTTTGAAGCTAACAGATCTGAACCAAAGCTAACAGATCTGAACCATCGCATGTATGTTTCGAAGTTATGTTCGCTGGAATTTGAAGGTTTTGAACTGAAATTACAAGTTGGTGCAGAAGGTGTGGAAGGTTTTTAAATCTGGTCGGTACTGAAATTACTGGGACGGCGGTCAGGTGTCGCCGGAGAAGATGACCGGCTTGCCACCGGACCTGCTTGGGTGTTTGCCGGAACCAAGCAGGGGGGCTTAACTGAGGGAAATGAAAGGGAGATGAAAGGGAGAAGGGCTGGCTGGAAAAGAGAGAGATGAAAGGGAGATGAGGGGGAAGGAAGATGATGGAGTGGGGGTAAATTTTTGGGAGGGTATTTATATGGGGTAGGAAATGGGGTAACTATGAGCTACCTATAGCAAAATTGCCTAAAAAATAGTACCTTCGTTTCATAAAATTCTTCTCACTTTGACTTGACACGGAGATTAAGAAAGTGGAATAAAGTAGAAATGTATGGTTGTGATTGTGTAAGAAAAAGATGAAATGAACGGGAACCACACAAATTGTCCAAAAATGGTAAGTGGGAAGAATTTTTTAGGACGACCCAAAAAGGAAAATTGGAAGAATTTTATAGGACGGAGGGAGTAATCCAGAACTCTATAAATTCATGTTTAATTATATGGTCCTTTATCAAAAACATGTCTAATCATATGTTATCTAAATTAATTAAGACTAAACAAGACATATTCAAGCTACTTTTAAAGTATTCAAGTCTGAATTATTTTCATAATAATGATTTTTGTGTTATCATTTAATTCGAAACTAAAATAATTATTATGCACGTAAAAGAATATGTGAGAGTGATGGTTATTACTTAATAATGTAAAAACAAGCCAAGTGTAATAGGGTAATGAGAAGTGTGTGTATTCATTACACAAATGCTCCTTTTAAATACTGATAAATTGAAATCTAATAATATAACGGCACATAGAATTATTAACGAAATCTACATAACACTTTAACGTATATTCTATCTATAATCAAAGCACATTAAATGTAATTTTCTTTAACATCCATCTTGTGTTGAGTTGTAGATATAATGATATTTGTGTTGATAATAACGTGTAATAGGGTAATCAGAAGTGCGTGTATTCATTTCATAGATGCTCCCTTTAAGTAGGGATAAATTGAGATTTCACAATACAAGTGTACAACGGCACATGGACCTGTTAACGCAATACACATAATGTATATTCTATCTATTATGAGAGCACATGTATACATGTAATTTTCTTTTAAAAAAGAAACCATGTGTTAGTTTCCTACTTCTAAGTTCTTTTTCAATAGAAATAAAAACAAATTGTATATTAAAGTGTAAAAAACGAAGTATTTATAGGTGGAGTCGTGGAGATGTGCATCACACAACTAGAGCAAAATTTGTGTATCTGCCAATCTGCCCCATAGTCCCATACTTTAATTATCTTAAAGACGCATTACAATTTACAAGTGACATCATTAACCAAAGTTGCAAGTGACATCATTTACTTGACCTATTTATTAGTACAGTTTATTAGAAACAACTAAAACTTATGGCAGGTTGAATTTAATCAGATAATAAGCATAAATAACGATCTGCAGAGAGCATCCAAGTCTATGCATGAATATATTTAGAATTACAAAAATGAAAATAAAAAATAAATGAACAAAACACTCCGTTTAAGTTGTTCTTCTACATCTTCAAATATATTAAAAAAATTGTTTCTCCCTCCACAACTGATGCAGTGACATCAAAATGTTATTCTTTTTTATGCTTGTAGCATCTTCCATTATTGGAGGCTCAATACTTAGAAGGGTAGTATCTGAAAGTCGCGGACACCCAATGAAACAAAGTGGGATCAAAGAATAAAGAGGCGATTGATACAAGAATGACAAAAAAACTCATTCAGTTTTAACCTAACATATCATACACTAACTAAACTGTTCAGGAATCGTGCAGTCTATGGGTTAACTGGGGGCTGAGACCATTCCTATATCTGAGCATACGTCCTGCCAGGTTACACCTTAAGTGAAATTAAGGCATGATGATGGCTAGCAATTATCATGACTGGTACAAAAACCTCAAGCTCTCCTCCCCTTCACATCTTATATCTGACTCCCCAATAACTTAGTTGCTGAAAAACCCTGGCCCAGCCTGTGACAGGAGTTCCTTGCCAGCATCCTCACCCATCTCAACCATCTCATTAAAGGTGTATGGCCCTTTCCTTGATGTTTGAAGCACTTGAACAAAAATAAATAAAAGGAAGTTAACTTCAATTTCAATGTACACACACTAAAAGAAACTGGTGCTTACAAAGAATTGTGTGTGTTGATGGTCTTCCAATGCCGGCATTCTTGTTTTGTTATGTTTCGGGCACCCGCATCTGGATGATTATCCGACATTGGAATGACCACATCGGCTGGTGGCTGGATGATACTAGGGATGTACCCGGTCCGATTCTGGTTTCAGGCCGGCAGACTCTTGGTACAAAAATATAGATTCTGTACCAGGGTATAATTGGCCTAGTTCAGGTTCGGGTTCTCTACCCCGTTTCCAAAAAAACAGACCAGGTCCAGTCTTATTCGGATGAACCGGAATCAGTTTGGGCCAGTTCTGATTCATTTTAGTTGTAAATCTGGGACTGGGTCCACCCCTAGATGATACATGTGCTCGTGTCTGCTATTTTTTATGTAGGCGCCTGCGTTGGAGGACGACTGTGTAGTGTGAAAGGGACTAAGGGGGGGAGGGGTCAAGCCGGAATTGCCTTTACCTCGAGTTCCATCTGGGGAGGCCACCAAACCCTTGAAAATGCAATCTCCATCCTCCCCACGATGGGCGTACCCAGCGATTGGAGTCCGACAAGATCCATCTAATGCCTTCAGAAAAGCCCTCTCACAAGCAACTGCAAGTCGGGTATCCTCGTGATTTAAAGAAGCGATGTAACTAGCCTGCATTTTGAAATAACACCAATAATATAAAAACATAGAGTTGTATGCTGCAATGGAAGTATTTCATTGAATTGAGTTCTAACAATAATGCATACAGGCACATATACCATTCTCTCGTCATCACTTCTACAGGCAATTCCT